GCACGACTACACATGGAGGTGGAGAGAAAGGTGTGGTGTTTGTTTGTTTGTTTGTTTGTTTGACAGACTGTAACCCTGAGGAGGAAACACCACTTCTGTATGTCAGGAGGGACGCACGACTACACATGGAGGTGGAGAGAAAGGTGTGGTGTTTGTTTGTTTGTTTGTTTGACAGACTGTAACCCTGAGGAGGAAACACCACTTCTGTATGTCAGAAGGGACGCACGACTACACATGGAGGTGGAGAGAAAGGTACAGAGTAGACACAAGGAAACTAGAAAACTTACATGTATTCTTAATTACTTGATTTGTTCCACTAAATCGTAGTGGTCTGCATCAATCTTCCTCCATCTTACATGTCTACGTTAGGTATTATTATTATTATTATGTTTACCAAAGGAAAACAGATTGTTTTTGCTCAGTTTCTTCCTCTTCTTCTTCTCCAAACTATGAGGGAGCCTGCTTTCCATAAGTGTGAAATCTCTAATGTCTTGTTTTATGTTTACCGAAGGAAAACATTGTTTTTGTTCAGTTTCTTCCTCTTCTTCTTCTTCAAATAAATAAGGTCAATGTCCTGAACCAGACATCTGTCACCATGGTAACTGGTGTTGGGTTACATCATGTTGCAATTTTATAGCAGGAGGGATTTCGACTCCTGTCTGACCATATATAATATTATGAATGTGTTTGAGTAAGAATTAACAGATTAGACCATATGCGAACTTCAAGGTAAACATTATGTAGACACACTAAATACCTTTTTTTTCACAATTCTGCTCAATTAATCCCCTGCAAAAATCCAAGAAATAGAATTGTTGCAGCCTTCTTATAATCAAGCTGATTGGCTACCTCCCTTTAACATCCAGGTGCAGGATCCAATGGCGATCAAGATGTTATTTGACGAGGCGCGGACCAACATGCTCCATGGGATGTACGCGTGTTCGGATGAGGACACTGTGGCCATGGCCGGAGTCATGATGCAGATCATATACGGAGACCACGACCCTAACAGACACAAACCTGGATTTCTCAAGTAAGTCAGCTCTGGGTAATCTGTCTGAACATATCTGTACCTGTATAGCCGGTATAACTGCCTTTCGGCGTAACACACCAGCTTCTGTATCTGTATAGCCGGTATAACCGCCCTTCGGCGTAACACACCAGCTTCTGTATCTGTATAGCCAGTATAACCACCCTTCGGCGTAACACACCAGCTTCTGTACATGTATCTGTATAGCCAGTATAACCGCCCTTCGGTGTAACACACCAGCTTCACAGGCACGCGGCGCGGTGGCAGCTGACTATGTTACACCTAACCCTTGAACATTTAACTCTAAACGTTGTTTAAAGGTATCTAATGACAATGCCCCTACTGTAATTGGGTGACAGCAAGTTCCACTCTGCGATAGAAAGAATGAATTCTTGAACACCTCAATCCTTGGTTCATAACTCTGTTATTTGAAGGCATGGCTATTTCTTGTTCTTTTCTGAGCTGGTATTAGTTGGTACGTCCACCAGTTTATTAGTCTGTCAAGCACTTAAAGAGCTCATGACACCGAAATAACTGATACAAAACTGGAAACTACTTAACCATACACATGCAAAGACTTCTCACCTGTCATTCAGACCATTTCACACTGTTTGTCTTGACATTTGAACCTTGACCTTTGATGACCTTGCCCTCTGAACCTTGACCCACAGTGACCTGAACCTGAAGCTGCTCCTGCCCAGCCACAAGCTGAGGAACAGGAACATGAACTGGGTTGAGGGGATCCTGGCTGAACACCAGCAGTTAACTCATCAGGGTATCAAGGACATACAGGTATGATTGATTTGATTTTGATTTATTGAAATTGCAACAGTGCTATACACGCAGAACAGAGGCAGCTGTTGCTGGTGTTGTGTCCCGCACATAGAAACGAATACTGGACAGTCAGACAATACTCATTTTCACTTGAGTCTAGTGGGGAAAGTCGTGTAAAGTGCCTTTCCCAAGGGCACAAGATCGGTGGCATGTCAGGACTTGAACCCAGGACCTATTGATTCCGAGTCATGCACGCTGCCGTTGCGCCACATGACCCCAATAATAGGGTTTGTTTAAAGTTACAACTTTTGATCGAAAACAAAGAAATTCTCTCACCTAGAGCTTTCGACCAGTCACTCTGGTCTTCCTCAGTAGACTGACCCAGTGAGACTTGTCACGTGGCTTCTTTGAAGTGTGATGTCAACACTGTGTCAAAGGTATCTGGTAGACGATGTCGGCCCCGTCGCAGTTGAGTGAAGGATGATAGACCCTAGAAGCAAGTGCCGATCCTATCTGAGGGAATTCTCTCCCCCTCTGTCCCTCTCTCTCCCTCTC